AAATACAAATGCATATATATATATATATATTGAGTCGTCAAGTATGAAATTTGTAAAAAAAAAAAAACCAATAAAATTAACAATACGATGCATTAAAAACTGTATATAATATAATATATTTATAAGTCATATATATTCATATATATTATGATATTCATAGGTCAAGCGAGTAATTTTTTACTGACATATTTTATTTTCCATTTCCATGATAATCGAGTTATTCGTGTTTAATGCTTCACCCGGTAGATTTAATGCTAGAAAGAGATAAATTGATGGACGAAGATATTCGCATGTGTGGCATCGTGTGTCCTCGTTCTCGCAACTCGATTAAATATCATAATCCCGTTCGCCTAACTCATCTCCATTTATTATTTAATATCATATTGATTGATATTTATCAAAAGGAAAATGGTTGTTATTACCGTAAAATAAATAAATAAATAAATATAAAGACTCGAGAAAGGGGGGAGGGTACAGGCTCAATAAATAAAATAAAAAAAAAAGAAACGAATAGAAATGATTTCTACGAAATGATTATAAAAATATTTTCCAACTATCGCGCATACATCGACGATATATTTAAGTCAATTCTTTCTAAGAACAACTAGAAGAAGAAGAAGAATAAAAAGAAGAAGAAGAAGAAGAAGATGGGGAACTCGAAAAATGGGTCGAACCACTTCGGAATAAGACGAAGAGCAGTTAGGTAAATTGAACAGCTTTTACGTTAATCGTCGCGTTCAATTCTTGGCTATTCTTAGGTTTCATTAAAACCAAGAGATGATAAGAGTCACTAAATTTTCCCTCGTTTGTACAATCTCTTAGTTGACACGTTTATTTTACACGAAACGAAACTAAACGAAACTAAACTAAACTAAACTAGACGAAAAATAAATAAAGACAAATAAAATTGAAATTCCGATTGTTATTATCCCAATAAAAAAAATTCATCCGTACGTAAAAAGAAATTTTCTAATAATTAAATTTTTATTCATTATTAATATCATCGTAAAATTTCTCGTGAACGATAAAACTTCCATTTCTTTATTTGAAAACACAATTAAAATCTATATCAAATATATCCCAAATTTATTTCTACATAAATGAAAATTCTTTGAATAATAATCGAGTTTGAGAGAGAGAGAGAGAGAGAGAGAGAGAGAAATGTATAGCAAAAAAATATAAAGAGGATCGATTACTCTTGGAAAAAAAAAAAATAGAAATAAAATCAAGCAATTATCTCTCGATGAAATGATTTATATAAATTCGCGATTGTTGAAAATTGATATCCCGTTTGCAGGGAAAACGAGAAGATTAATAAAACTAAACAACGATAATTATTTATTCATTTTTGTAAAGATACTCTTACCGTTTCACTTTCCTAACTTTTTTTTCCTTTAGGTGTTTTCGATAAATAATAACACGTTGTTGCTTGATGTTAGAATTCTAACTAATGTATAAGTCAAAGCAGAATAAAAGAATGAAAAAGAAGTAGGTAAAGGAGAAGTGGAAAAATAGGAGGAGTAGGGTGAGGTGGTGGGTCAGGGGGCGAGGGGTGGTAGAAGAGAAGAAAAGAATGGTCATTGCTTTACCCTTTGAGTGCTTTAGATTACAATTTAGTATCTATTTAGTATCTATTCTAGATACTAATTCAGTACATCGTAATAATTCTAAATTAGTTTCAAACAATGTAACACTAAATTACCGTTATATACACATTGAAACATTAATTTATTATTATTATTATTATTATTCACGTATGAATCGTGTATTATTGTAACCAGAACTAATTTATATATAGAACGTTAATGGATCATCGTGTATGTGTTCAATTCGAAATGGTTGAATCCATTAATATTCGGGAGAAGGAATCGGGATAAAAATTTCCATGTATTTTATAGATAAATGATTTTAGGATCTCGTAATTCTGACGATGATATTAATCGAATCTGATAATATTTGCGTAAGTTTTGAAAAACTGACGTCATATTATGTTAAAAGAAGGGAGAAAAAAAAGTAACCATCGAGAACAGAACATTATTAAGCTATTCGTAATTTAAGTATGAATATGGAATAGATGATAATAATTTGTTAAACTTTTACGAATGAATTCTTGAAGTGCCTGCTATGAACGCATTTATGCGTTTGGTAAAAATTTCCACCAGCGTGAATTATTACATGTTTCTCAATATAAAATGCAAATAATGTAATATTAATTTGTCACAAA